GTCTGCAAGAGTGTTCCAGTGGTTTTTCATGTCTTATTCGTAAATTAATCATGGGGAAAAAGAAAGAGAGAGAGAAAAGAATATTGTTCTCCTAAACAACAATCAAAATACATGTACACTGTTGATAAATTCAGCATGCAACGTAAGAAAGCCCGTTCTTACATGGCTTTCTTGCCTCTATTTCAACGTATGCAGTTTCAACAGAAGAATATTCGACCGGCTGCATGCCTAACGTTCCGTAAAATATTGCAAGAATTGCACGTGTGCCTAACACCGATAATCATTTTCCTCATTCGTTGTGTCTCCAGCAAGATTTTGGTAATACGCAGTTGTTTCATTTTTCATAAGACAGTCAACTCGATGCAGACATCTTGAGCCGCTGCAGACTCAAGAACGGGGTGGATAACGAAGGAGGGACACAGCTGATAAGCATTGATATCCACACTGGTGAGCTATATATATTATTATAGGTAGGTAGGTAGGGTGGGTGGGTGAGTGGGTGGNGTGGATGGGTGGGTAGGTAGGTAGGTAGGTAGGTAGGTAGGTAGGTAGGTAGGTAGGTAGGTATTTTTCTCACTGGATCGATATCAAAAGCAAAATCTGCGATTGCTTTATATTGCCTGGTTTAAAAAGCTGCATGCAAGTAAGTAAATGCTTCAGTATTAATGGGAGGCTTTGAAATGCTGGTGGCAGCAGACATGCTGGTCCTTTTCGTAGCACTGCGCTTGCTCGGAAATATGCGCGCATGCCCAGAAGTGCTACAAAGGACCAGTATGTTTGCCGCCACCAAGCCTCTCAAAATCTCCCATTCCAAAATAATTCACATCTGTATGCATGATCGCTACCCGTTTTTTTACTTCCTAGTGCCAGGCAATTTTAGGGCTTTGGTCATTATAAGCAAGTCAAGTGTATTTTGGCATGAAATAGGTACTTACAGAAAATGACTTCATGTCATCGCAAAAGAAAACATTGATAGTGTTCATTCCGCAAAGCGTCTTTTTCAAGTATTGCAAAATCAAATCTGGACTCTTCCATTTCACTTTAAAACCACTCAGCATTTGTTTTATATAACTGATATACAGATCCTTATTATTTGATTTTTTTAAGTAAATGTTAAATGATTTCAAATCACACAAATGGAGGTTCGGAAAAAAACGTTTTCAATATTCCAGAAATTATAACAAATCATGGAATCAATAATGTTTTCCAATAAAACCTTCCAAGGTTTGGTTGCCACTCTTTGAAATGCATGTCCTTTCTAATGCATGACAACTGCTCAGATACGTATCATATCAGCACATTGACGACACGGATATGAGACCAAGTGATTCTTAAGTTCCGTAAGTCTACAGATAATTTTATTTATTTATAAACATGATCATCCAATTAGCACCAAATACAGGATGATAATAAGTGAAGGAGACAACGAAGAAATGTTCAGTTTTAGAGGTGGGAGGAAAACCCCGGGTAAATGTTTCTGGGAATCCCACGGACTCAGGCAGGGAGTGAAAATCCAATCCACATGTGGACCGAGTCGGATGCCAACCCAGGCCCCTGGATGTGTAAGGCGTGGAAAGAAACACTGCACCAACCTTATTCCCCAAGGAATATTTATAAGTGCATTTGGTAAATGGTAAAAATAATTCATGAGCCTGGTGAAACGTTCTATCCAACGAGGCGAAGCACTATTTTTTTCTTAAAGAATGTGGTATTTCGATGAGCAATTATTAACTTTTAAATTGATGTTTCAACCTGGCGACCACAACCAATTTTTTTACTGCAAAGACACGAACGGTCGGAGATGGTCTAAGTTAACATACGAAAAGAAATAATCCCCCAAAATGCCCGCAGGAAACCCAACCTGGCATCTAAAAGCAACTTTTTTCACTGCAAAGACACGAACGGTCGGAGATGGTCTAAGTTAACATTACAAAAAGTAATCATCCCAAAAATGCCCGCAGGAAGTGAACGACGAAGAACATTCCATTGAAGCGTTAGTTTTTTTTCCATATAAAAAAACCTGTGTAAATCGAATGGCATGGATTCATTTATGCACAATGTGTCCATTTTCCTTCTCAGTCCTGAGTATAAATCGCGATAAGAAGTTGTCTAGTTGTAAATCAGTCAATGTCTCGACAGATGTTCCTGTCTGTCTTGCAGATTTGTTTATTTGTGTTAGATGCGTCAGCATATCTTATATACAAGTTCCAATATTTCCTCTTCTGTCAGAATGGTCCTCGCGTACATTAACGGAGGACTTTAATTTGGAGAAACACATTCGTGTCCGAAGCCACTGGTATAGGCCTGGTAGTGTGCAATGTTTGCCTGGTTCCCATCCCCGCATTATTTTCCTCGTTCTCCGGAAATGAAATAAGCTTACATGAAATTAGGCAGGAACCAGTCAATTGAAATAAAGTTCCAGTCAATAGGTACCGTGAGAAAGCAAGAATAATTAAATGATATGTAATCAACGATCCACCAATAAAATGGCGGGGATTTATGCAGGTATTTTGTACAATAAATACCATTTCCCATGGGCGATTCGGACGTTTAGAGCTCGTGCGTGTATCATAATGAATGTCACGTAATGTAAGCTCCACTCATCAAATGACAAGGGTCTGTGTGAAAAATAGAGAGTTGCACGATAGAAAAAAAAATTAGCTGGATACAGAGAGATGTGACGCAGCCTTGCTGAAGCTGTCGCCCAGCAGTGGACTGAGAATATCTGACAGTGATACTCAATTATAATCAGGCATGGCAGTGATAATTGCGCTCTTCGAATAAGCAGAAGCCACGGCAGAAAAAATAAATGCAGAACAGAAGGAAAGATGTGCTTTCTCCTTATTGCCAACCAAACCGCATTCTGTTATCTTGCCACGTGAATACTAAGAAGTCGTGTGCTACTGTAAGGCTTATTAGCGCACAGAGGATTTGTCGTGTGTTGGGGGGGGGGGGCTCGGACTAGAATATACTCCCAAAATAGCTCGATGCTGAAGTCCCCTCCCCGCAGTCGCGCCGGGGGGGGGCTTGGATTTACAGCTACATGTATATCCGAGCATGATCAGAGCTACTAGTAAATAAAGATGTTTTATCTTCGTTCTTCAAGCCCCCCCTTGGGTGCGCCACCCTGCATCTATGGAAGCCACGGTATAGCCTCTTTCCACACGAACGTGTTAATTTCTACTGGTCGTTGCCACGTTCGGACCCGCCCTAAAACCGACCAGTACTGCTGGAGCGGTGGACCACTTGACTGTATTTTCGAAGGGACGAGTGCTGGCAGGTATGTCCCCCAGAGGGGGTGGTTGCGAGGGCGAATCAAAGCTAAATTTTGGAAAAGATCTTAAACAAACTGCGTTTGTGCCAGAACGTTGCAGTGCGTAGTACAGCCTGGAGATGGACGAATGCAGCGAACTACAGAAATTAACACATCGGCTACATCAAGATGCTGACACTCGCAAGATCGGGACGACGAGCAGATTTTCAAGCCCAAACCACAATAGAAAAAATAATTGAGAAAAATATTAAACTTTGTGTTTCAATATTATACCCAAAGCCGCCATTATCGTATCAGTGTTTTCATGGCCTACTTTTATAATTCAACCTAAACTTTGCAACGAAACAATCGTAAACCCTAACAACGTACATTATTTTTAGCAAGGTTTTTTACACCTACATAGATTTAAATCGGAAGGGGGCATTTTATTTAATTCCACAGATGTATAAAACAGCCATATGCCATGCATATACAGTATATTCGAAACAAGAAATAGCGTCTTGGTATCGACATGAAATAATTCACCTCCATATTCACTTTTCCAACATACCCCTTAAAACCTATCTTTGTATATGTCCCCACAAAACAAGTTCAAATGTTATTGAAGAGACACGGAGTTATTGCCAGCTAGATGCATTCAGGGGATACAATAACTCAGTCCTCTGCGTTTTATGAAAAAAACCACTCCTGCTCAATCTTAAAGGTTGCCAATAAACTCCCAAGAGCAATCCTCATCAACCAGAAACAACACTGATATGAGTTGATAGCACTGGACAGCACTCTCGAGCCAGTATTTCAAAGAGCAACGAGTCCAATAAGCTGTAGCCACCTGTACTTTTTTCTCAAGATGAAAGACGTCGGAGCGCCGTAAATCACTTCGAATCATGCCCACTTAGTACTGTCCTGTGTTTGGGGCAGCCCTTGTATATGTAGCGAGTACCAACCACCAGGCCCCATTTATTGCTTGATTGAAAAAAGGAAAAAAATGTTTCCGCCTGCGTCTAACCTGACTGAACGCTTGGACAGTATAGTCAAAAAATCGATAGCGAAGTTGTTTCTTACTTATCACGATGCCTGTCGAGCCTTAGGGCCTTTTTAATTCCAAAACAGGGCTTTATTCAAATTTGCAATGCGGATTACGATGCTGCTGGTGAGCACTGTCACTCAGGAACTCAACATGCAGTCGACAGTGGTCCAACGAAACTCTAAGTACTGACGAAAGCGCAAAGGTACTGATGACAATAATACGGAGGAAGTATTGCATGCCGAAGGCAAATTAAAAATAGAACAATGAATGAGCTCAGTGCTGTCTGCAGCCTAGCTGGGCTGTGTCAACAAGTAGACTCAAAATGTGCCTACTGGAGACAGAAACACAGCGCATTTTGCTGGTCTAACCCATGGTCTGACAAACCAAGCGCTTGTTGCTTGTTCGAATATTCACTACGCTCAAAATATACTGGCATGTATGGACTGTAACGCGTACCAGCAATGAGAAAAGAAACACTACATGCTTCTCTGCTAGCCAGAACGAACGGGTTGGCCTGGCAGAAGTGACAAGAAACTTATCATAGTGACCCTAATGCAGCAATTAATGAACACTTAAAATACAAATCAAGGACCTGTTGGAAGCCACTGAAACGATTAGAACTGAGACTAAAAGGAGCCTCACGTATAGCTTACATCAAGGGGAACATTGTTTTTAATTGAAAAAGATAACGTTACTCACAGATGCTGAGTTTCCTCCGGTAACACCATTTGCTGTATGGATGTGATGTGCTCGCCGGAGCACTCCACACCATACGCCGGCACGGCCTCCTTGCTATACAGTGGGTTGCACATGCAGCCGGCCGGGCAAGGAACGTCCCGGTACCCGGTGTCCAGGTCCACCTCAGTCTCTGTGGGACCGTCATTGCCCACTCCCCATGTTGGGTTCTGGTCGTCGTCGCTGTCGTCGGCCAGCTCCGGTGCGGCGGACGGCACGCTCTCCTCCCCAGCGGAGGGGGTTCGCATCAGGCACAGGTACATCAAGAATACACGGTACGATGTCGAGGTTAACACTCGGGCTAACACCTTCATTGTAACGTTCACCTCAAACCAAGTTTTCAGTTTGAAAAACTACGAAAGTATTGGAATAGATCAACGTTAACCGATGGCCGGGTGTAATAACTCGTTCAGGACAAACATGTGCCTCGGCACGGAGTGATTACATGGAGCGCGTTCGGTTGCGCGTGACAACCTGGCGTGACAACCCTCACCGACTGAGCCGAGGAAATGCGACAGAGATGTCCACACAGTTCAATGTATTCGCTCAAATTCTGAGAGAAAAAGAAATGCGCATTAGTTATGCCATCAAGTCAGTGCCCGAGGTAGTCCAGTGGGTGGCATGTGCCTCTCTAAACCCTTCGTATAATGATACATCCAATCGTACAAGCTTCGCTTCTAAATCGGAGGCAATGCGATTGAAAGACATCGTCTAGGATGACTTCCCATAGGTAAGAGCTCCGTTACATTGCGTGACCTGTAGTTGAGCAGACTGACATTTTACCTTTATTTCGGCCACCCATCACTCGTGACAGAGGTCAGCCAATCAGAGCAAGGCCAAAATTATGAATATTTAAAGTTTACTTTTAACGAATGAAATGGAAGATTGTCAAGTCTCGTCTTAAGCACGTGACAGTAGGTGCCATTATTAACATATAAAACCATTTTAAGGAGTAAAACATTGTCTGCAAAAAAGAATTGCTTTTTTGAAATATTTAAATCCTTAAACATTGGAGACTTTCTTGAGAAAATGCAATTCTTACTTAGCTGGCTAAATAACTGGGGAACCTAACTAAATTAGAGCTGGGATATCCACATAAAGCCTGCTGTCATTAACATAATTGCGGTAAATTCGTAGGCATTGTCAATAAACACTGGTAAATTGCAAACCTTATGAGTATTTTCATGATAGCGTGGACTTGTTATTGTAGGGGCATCATTTCAAACCCCTGATTTGCTGAAACCTACTCGCTGTATAAACAGCTTTTCTATCTCTTTCTTCTCTCCGATTGTTTGGCTGGCTATTATGATACTCTTTGCTAATTTCAATTTATTTTCCTATCAGGCCCATATATTTTCATTCAGTGGCGTAAATTTGTGCCAGAGATTGGGGGATGGAAGTTGGCGGACGGGGAACTGTGGGGGATGACTTGCCTTGCCTTGCCATGGAAATTTGAAAAGCAGGAGGTGTGGCACAATAATATGACACGATATGGAGGCAATGTTCATGATACAGATGTAGGCCTACATCTGCAATGAGTATTACATTCCCACAGACTCGTACATCAGAACGGCATATTAATGTATTTTTCTAATTGTTCTCCACTTTGAAGTACTTCTGAATGTATTTTTATTGGGAAGTCCGGAATATTCTTCACAATCAGAGCGATTCTCATATCTCACCAGGAAAAAGTGGGGGATGATTGGCCCACCTCCCAGGCCCCCTCCGGGTCAAAAAGTGGTGAATATATACCCCCATCCCCCGTGATTTAAGCCATTATTTCTATTGCTTTTGGAGTGTCAAGGTACACCATCGCATGCGATGGAGAGTGTATTGCGGAGCAACTACAGGCCTGCTCCGCTCTGTCAAAGGATGTCGGTTTTGAGACTAACAGCTTGTTTGCACGCATAACATCTAGCGGTACGCTCACAAGCAGTATGAAATTACGCAGTCGTTGTGTAAATTAAAAGACTTTCTTTTCCCTCGGTATTTACATAATCCATCAATTTGAGACTACGGTATTTGGGAAGCAGAGAGTTTTCAAAATCAGAGGGAAATGGATTCAGTGAATATAAATAGTGGGCGATTTTCTCTGGAGATAAGTAAATCTGTAGATTACTACATGTATTAAGCAAAATGTCGGCACTCGTGCCTGTGACATTGCATGAACTCGTTCGCCAGCTTTTTTACACGTTTAGTTTGGGAACAGGTGTGCAAACAACTGTTTTGCCGAAATAGCATTCACGGATTAGGCCTATGTCCCTTTCTCAGCGTTGGGTGTTGCCTTCTTCGTACTACAAAAAAGAGTGATATTGGACGTATTTAAGATACTAAGCTATTTTCCCACTGTCTGCAGCCGACACTGTAAAAACGCTAGGAAATTTTTGTCCAACGTTGGGTACGAGGTGAATCGCTAAACTGTTCAACGAAAGATCAAAACACTGGGTAAATGAAGTAGAACAAATACTATTTTCTATAACCGGTGGGTGAAATAAAACAGGTTGTTCACATATCAGGAAAGAATCAGTGACGTTAGGTAATCTGTTTGCCCAACAATTAGGCAATTCACCTGATACCTAACGTAGGGCAAAAATGTTGTTCGTCGTTTTTACAGTGTAGCAATGCACAATTGTGTTTTTTCCAGGGAAAAGCGAAAGCGATTATTGGGAATTTTTCGGGATCCCTCTCTTTAATCTTTTGTTCAAGTTTACCAACAGCCCCTCCCCCTCATTTTTTCATTTTTTCCACGGTTTCTTTGCGTTGCTGTTTGTCGTTCAGTGAATACCCTTGGCTCCTCCCTATTCTAGCTTCATATATCCAAATTTGAGGGTTTTTTTTCAATTTAGCCTTTTGCCTCTTCTTCTTTATTCACTGCAAAATCAGTGGAAATTGTGTACGCGTTTTCCAGAGAATCATGGACACATGATCAGCGAGTGTTGGCAAGTGACTCAGTGCGGCAAAATCAACCCCAGAGGAATTGGGCACGAGCCATGATTAAGAACGTGAAAAATGACTTGGCACTCATTTTTCACCGATGTGGAGATTTTTTCGACATTTGCAATGCGACCAATGCTTAAAAAAATCGATCTGAAATTTCACAAACAAGCATTTTGTGGCATTAAATTCAAGTTTAAGGGTCTTAATTTAGGCTTTGTAACCGTCTGGTATAAATAACTGAACGCAACGTTTGAAAAAAACGAGGATATTCACAGAAGTGTCAAATTACCTTTAGAGTATATCTCAATGAGATAAACAGACAAATCGCAAATGACAAGACGGTGACGTACCGGGCACTTTAATGCATAACGTGCATGACCACCACTCCATGATGAGACGCGCGTTTAGTTACATCGTAAGAAGGGTGCGTAAACGCTGTTTGCACCCACTTCTTTTACAAGTGGCCTTTAATCTACGACAAGTTTATTGAAACGAGTTTAGGACCGTGTTTAATAGACAGTTTCGGCATCCAAGTTAATTTGTTCATATCCGTACACGTATCCGCATGTTCTTATACGTACGCGGGTACGTATAAGGTTTCGAAACTTTAGTTTACGTCCGTACGTGATGATGCACGTAGCAACATCGGTGGCGCTGATTTCTTCAAAAACTAAATTCATTCACCCCAAATTTAACTCAAAGACATTGCTGTCCACACAAACGATACATCAAGTGTCGCGAAAGTGAGAATATTTTGGTTTTAGGGATGCAATTTGGGACTGATAATGTGGTGTGCAAAACCGAAACTTCATGCGTACCAATTCCGTACCAAGTTGCTTCCATGCGTCGCCGTTGAATTTCTCCACATTACGTATAACAAGACAGCCCTAAAGAGTGACGTCATCAGCGAAAAAAAAGATATGGATACGTGGTATGCAAGCGGATTTTCTGTTTGCCGAAACTGTCTAACTACTAAACGCTTTTCCCTGTGGTGTACATTCAGCTTTGTGAAATCTACATTTAAACAGATTCCTAATCGCACTTCAATGTAAATGTCTGAACAAGTCGTTGATGAAACGATGAAAGTGTTTAAAAACGTGTTTAAACTTCAAGCACCTTTTTTAAAGCGTAGACTCAGTTCCAGCCTACAATTTATTGTATGCCAGCCCCTCATTAAGAAATCTTTCCGGGCTAGTATTTCAAAAAGATGTATAATCCAGGCTAGCGTTTCACCGGAGGGCGTTTTCCCTATTTTGTATCATATTTCTGAGATAAAGGACGCCGGATGCCTAAATCTACTGAGTTAATTAAGATATCTTCGGGGATGTCATCACTGAGAGACGTCCTTCCTGTCTAGCTTCAATCATAAAGGATAGGGGAATAATACTTAGATTAACGAAGACTTCTCAAGAATTTTGATTAATTGTATCGGGTTTCTAAGATCATTGATCGTTGGGAAAGGGATCCTGAAGTAATGCTATACAGTTGTCAGTTGACAGGGTAAGCTATCCCAGAGGTCTGAGCATATTGCATGTAGAGCTAAAAATGACTACCTGGGAAATTTAGGTTTTTTTCAGCCGATGCTCTGAATTCCAGGGTATTCCATTTTGAAGCCTTACATACCATCTCCAAAACCAGGCGAAGTTTGGAAAGGGGCCTTCCTGCTGAAAGAATAATCTAAAATGGGTGTCATAAACAGTCTCAAATTGAGATTATTCATCTAACGGACGAGGAACTTGAATAGACAAAGCAGGTGTCATTTATGCACGAAATTGCCAAACTTATTTTTACACGTCTGTACTTATTTATGTGAGAAAATTTGGAGCATGCCTTGTTTAAGCTTCCGTATTCTTCAGCTCAGTGTCATCAAACCAAAGTAGTTCATCCCACAAGGAAGAAGCTTTGTCATGTCAGTGTTTGTACAGGTATCATCTATAACGTTCTTGTGCACGATGAATTAACGTTTTTATAGGTTTTCCATGCCTGGAACTGGATCCCGGATCATCCATTATACTCTTGGTCCTGAGGAGGGTTGAATAAACCAGGAACAGCGATTGTGTAGGTCTACGATTTAAGTGCTAAAATGATGAAATGGAATTTATCCAATAAGCGAGGGGACTCAGATGACAGACATGGTGAAAATTGCCGAGAGCGAGAACAAATTGTGGCTCAGTTTTGTAAACCTTACACGTACAACTAAGCGACAAGTTGAGACGATTGGAAATGAGGTATTTTAAAGTAGAAAATAGAGATTTCAGAATGAATTGCTCAGAAACTGATAAGCATTTTCCATAACTGACAATATTTGAGAGCTCACATTTGGATACCAATTAGGTGATGCTTGAGTCACACACTGTACAGGGATTATTCGAACTGGTAATGCCTAAATTGGCCGTGCCCATGAAAAGCGCTTGTAAAGAGGTTCAAAACAGACAAGGCACACGCTTCATTCCCGTGTAAGGATTTAGTGATAACACTCTTCATGTACATGTACATGTGGCCATGCCTCATGGTACTGTGCTTGATCTCACCTGAAAGTCGAGACCTCTGATGCAGTCATATCCGATGTCGTGGGACCGTAAAGCCAGCATCAAAATCAGCAAACTCGGTCTCGTAACCGAGACTTAGTTTCAGACCCTTGAGACTTTGCAAAAATCATGCTACGAAACAAGATCTTCAAGTGATATTCTGGTGATATTTTCAACGCTCTTGAAATTATTTGCATAACCTCTTGGGCTTTCTGATATATATCAATAAAATGTCTTGAAACTTATTCACGTCTTGCCTGTGTTTTTTAATAAGCTGTCAAATAAAGACAGGTTGGTTATGATGCTAAGCATCAACATATATTGTCCATGAATAGCTAAACTCCCCAGCTGGCACTGCATTTCATCCTGATTAAAAAAACACGTGCAGATGCAAGTCGAATGTTAAAAGCATGTTATATCGATTTCTTAGTCTGCGTGAAGAACACTTCCGCAAATGCACCTTTGAGTCCATCTTTTTCGCATCTTTGTACCGTCATGTTCATTGGTATTTTGGGGTGGCCATTTTGGTTTTTATTTGCATGGGTTTTTTTTTTTTGTTTGTTTTTTGGTTTTTTTTTACACTTATGACAGTTCCACGTGACATAATGACCAAAGTACATGGCAGCTTCCTTGCTGCATCACCACAAAATCACACGAGTTCAAGTTATAAGAGCTTTATTCACGCTCAGTTTTTCTTTTCCAGCGTTGAATCAGTGCACGACAGTTATCAATCAAACGCTGGGCTTTTGTTTTCCATCAGCTACAGTTCGGGTTTACAATTTGTACAGAAAATTAATAAAGAGTAGAGTTTATTCCTAAAGCGACATGGCGGCGACAAAGCCCCCGTCGACTTAATCGACCTCAGGCGTTTTAATGTTGTGGGCAAGTTGCACTATACGGAGATGTCTGATTACACGTAGGCTATTTTTTACACAGTTCAGAGGAATGGATATGCCTACGAAATGCGTCTCAATGGAAAATGCACGTGGTCGAGCCTTTCAGATCGCTGGGGATCGGCACCAGATAGGAGCACTGGATACTCCGGACGTTACCCCAGAGTGGATAAGCATATTGCCTATCGCGTAAGCGATAGCAAGGGGCAAGTTATTCAGCACATTATAGTTGGGACAGTGCTTCCACCCTTAACTTAATTGCTCAGAGTTTTTGGACTATTGCTAGAGCTTCCGTTTCTCTGATTGGTCTGTTATGTGCAACTTTTTAATCACAGTCCCAATAAAAAGCCTTGTGTTGCATCCCAACGACTGCACACACGCTGAAAACCGCACGAATGCGAGTGACAGTATTTACGCCACAGGCTGTCCACAGCTGACATCAGGAGCCCTCCAAGTCCGCCTAACGAAAACAAGTTTACATATCAATCAAAGGCCTTGGGTGTGAATATATTCGGTAAAAAACCTCTCAATCTACGTAGACTGGAGATGTTTTGGAATGACGTTGGTTTGTTGGAAAACTTGAAATTAAGCAGATCAGCTTCAAGTTATTTAGCCTACTTATTTTAGACCTTCCGACATCATGTTTATTTTCTGGGCAATATACAATTTATTTCCACCGTGGGGAGAGTAGCAAATGGGATCATGAGAGGGAAGAAATTTGCCCCCTCCCCGACCCGTTGCACAATACTGCTCAGTACCTATCCTTTTCCAATGCCCACGGTTTTGCCTACTAATACAAAATTTTCAAGCCGTATCATTTACTCAAATTTTCATAGTGCAAGATTAATTTCACGGAAATGAACAAACGGCTGGAACACGAATCCCTGTCTGAGGCGATGTAGCTCAAAATGACGACAATGAAATGTTCCACATTTCCAACGGAAATTAATGGCTAAATTTTCAATATGCAGTTAGAGATTGACTGAATATGGTGAGGAAAATGCAAGACCACTATGACAAAGACATGCGCTAGTATTCAAATGATCTAACTGCCGCTGTACTCTTTCAGTCTGTACATACAATATGCCTAGTAATCTTTGCCAGTCTACATGTATTCCTTTCAGGTTTACAATCTTCAAGGAAACCCCTACATCAACTACAGTATCCCTTCTTTCATATTTGAAGTTCTTCCTGTAGTGTACATTCACGTATTCATCTGGCTTCATGGTCAGTGTTATATTCAAGGCACAGATGAATTTAAACAACTGTCAAGTAATAAACGCGCAAACAACTATACTGTCCATGAAAGCCATAGTCGCCAGGGCCCTTATTTTGCCACTTGTCGTGAAAATCAATCAGAGTTGACAACAGGTGGCGAAACTAGGGACCTCGCGAGTCGCGACAATACGGTCACAGACACTGTACGTGAAAAGTATTTTCACAGAGTAGAAATCATGCCTTGTCTGCCCAACAATTAAACAGATGTTTACATCATATTTAATGAATGAATCCTCCTCGAACTTGTATATCAAAAACACATAGGAGATTGTTACTTACAGGTGATAGCTTGTATATCAACTAGTTACAAACTAACGAGACATAAAAGGTACAGTCACGTGGCAGGAGGCTTAAAAACAAAGACAGTAAATCATTGGCTTTTATACTAAGCATGTTAACAGTTTTCGTTGTTAATTATACATAATTAACAGTGCTTATTGATATACGTTGGGTAAGGGCAAAACCTTTTACATATAATTAACATCTCCCCAACGCAAAAAAAACCAAAATACATCTTGAAAAAAGTTTTCGTTGTGTTGTACATGTAGGATAGAAAATGCCCGTCTTAGTTGCAACAACCTTTAATGTATCTAACAATCTCCCTCGAAGCAGTAAATTGAACAGTAAGACTGTTTCGGTGTCTTAAATCCCTGACTCAAAATATCCAGTCCCTGTGCTGTTTCCTTTAAATTCATTATTTCAAATATACTAGCAATAATTGTCTCCTCTTCTGTGACCGACTGTGTAAAGAATGTTCGAATACTAAACAAGTAAATATTTTTTCACACATACATGTAAGGTTTTCTATTCAAAATACCTAATTACTGCATGCCGTTGTGATTTTGATTTCGAGGTTTTTAATCTCAGCAGAGTCTCCAATCACGAATTAGACAACATGCAACATGGACTGACTTGATTTACTGACTTGACAGCATGTTGAGATGGAGGGTTGGAAGTCATGTTGGAGCCATCTTTGGATCATTAAGACCGACTAGAAGACACAAAGTTCATGTTAAACAATATCTCTAACCCACAAAGTATTTAGTTATCGCTTCACCTGATCAATGCTCCTTGAAAATGGCAGTGCCCTCTGCTATGCCAAATAAGGTGGAAGCCATCTTTGAAGGCTCCAAAAACTTAGCCATTTATTTGTGCATGGCGATACGGTAATGCACTTTCCAGTCACGGCACTCAGATACGTGTCTCAGGATGAAACTTGTCAACAGACATGGATTTCAACACCATTCATTTAAGGGCCTCAACAAGTGAAGGTTTACTCCAAATGATTTGTAAGCAATGTCTCTTTCAACGACCCGAACGGGTTTCCCTGAACGTTAATGGTGGTAATCAGTGATGCGATCTGTGCACATTTCTATTTGGTGGTCAGCAGGGAAGCGAGTTTATTTATCTTGTTGTCTAGGTTGATATTGGGCTTCCGCGCAAGGCTTTCCTCCAAGCCTCGTCTCAGCTCGCCAAGAGAGGGCAGCGCATCACAGCTCGGAATGTTGAGCAGGCTGTCAAAGAACTCTTTCCATATGACATCGTAATATCTAAAGCAGAATATGACAGAGCAAGAACGGTTGGTGGCTATGACTATTGAAGTATAGTGTACAAGTACATCCAAAATGACTGATGGTCTTGGTAACTGAATTATAATTTTTGAAGACTATTAACATGTTAATTTGTTGGATAAAGCATCACACGGAGCTTCAAGTTTGGAATTCTTGGTGGCAAAAAACCAGAACTGAAGTACAAAATGTACGAAAAGTATCTATTGCAGGTAGAGCTGGCAGTTTAAATATGTAGCCATATTCCTTGCTGGAAAATAATAGGTCTCACTTTGCCTGTTGGGTGGAGAATTTTATACAAATTTATATTTAGAAAAATTATGCTTCAACTTATTCACTGCAGGTTCAACTTTCTGTTAAGTCAAGCACAACTGAATTTTAAAATAGGTTTGGCACCGGATTGAGGCTCACTGGCACTACGTTAAAAAAAGTGTGGGCAGCCATGTACGCTACAAGATTTCCAAATGGAGACAAGATCTCATCCAGGAAAAAACAAGGAAAGGCAAGATGAAATCGCGCAAGTCAAATTAGATCAGATATGTCAGAAACTTGTTTTCTGTAAGTCGGGGGCTGTTTTGGCACTAGACTCACACATAGAGAGAGACCGTGTAACAGGAAATAAAAATGAAGTGGCCCCAGGGAATGGCAAAATACGTGAGATCGAGGACCTGCTCGGATTTGCGTTCACAAATTGAGTAGAGCTACTTGCTTTAAAGGGTTATGAAGGATCCCTGAGGGCTGGAAAGGGAAGAACTGTAGGATGAGGCCTGTACTGAGCATGCTCCTTTAATAGAAATAATTTGCTGGACAGACACTGACAGAGCCAGGGGAAATACTAACCTGAGCGAAAACTACAAATGAAATTGTCTTTCCGACTTACCTCTTAATGTTCGAGGTATGTCTCCAACGTTCCTTTTCGTTGTATATGCTCATGTAGGTGCCAAACATCAGGCAATGTACGGTTGCAGCTACTCCAAATAAGTCAGTCTGGACAGAATAGGACAAGACATACTTATCTTGATAAATGACTTTAGAGGTGTTTAGGCCCTGTGTGACAAGCTGAGTTCTTGTATGCCAGACAAAATTAATTATAGGTGGTTGGTTGCCCAAGGACAAACAATGGATGACTGAAACTGGCTTTGCTGTGATAGTGATAAGCTGTTCAGGGGGCTGTTTTACGATTTCTTTCTTTTAAAAGTAAGAACGTTCTGATTATCGTTTCTATTAATGGAACAGCTGTTTTTGTTTGTTTTTTCCGGCACACTTGATTTCTTGTAATAATCAATAATAATCATAATTTCTGAACACATTTCACAACTTGAATAAATGATTTGAAAAATGTCTACCTTTGCCTCACATTTGATTATTTAGGCAGATTAGACAGGAACAAGTCCCACTACCAAATGCAGTGTCTGTGACTTGGTGTCATTGATAACTAATCACCTGGTATGTCCATGGTTGGCCTTTAAGCATCTCCGGGCACATGAAGCCATCCGTACCGCATGCAGTCCGGAAGGTCATGCCAAGCGGGAACAATCGCATATCGATGCTGCGACCAAAATCAATGAGCTTGATGTGCTTGGTGTTGGTCAAGGTCCCATTAGCGGCAATCTCGTCAGTGTTGTCGTTATCATCATCATCCCTGTGACAGAGTTGGGAAATGTTTGTCCAGTTAATTGCCAAAGACTATTTCTAAGTTTTAGAGAGTATGAATGGCACGGGGGGACAAATTGCCTGAAATAACCCGGAATGTGTGGAAATCTGGTTTTTTTTGCGGTCTGATTTTGATATGTCTATGAAATAAATTTTCACTCCATCACTGCCTTTCCAAGTGCATTACTGAGGTTTCAGTCAGCTGAACGCCTCATTTTGTTTGATGCATCAATTGCAACACAGAGCTGT